TGTTTGTTATAGCGCGACTGTTGAAATTAAGAGTATCGCAAAGTTATACTCAGAAAGAATAAACCAGTTTTATTTAAGAAAGGACTTGTGTCGCTAAAGTTTCTTCGGAACGAATTTACGGAAAATTAACTAACGAACGGAGATGTAACAATATTATTAGCAACAAAAATCAAATTCATAAAAGGTGGAAAAAGGCAAATTGACTGGATTTTATGGAGGATGGATGAAAGATAGCAAAAAAGTGTATTCATTAGTCTAGTTAAAAATTGGGTCTTTGTTACTAGTATCAGGCATCATTGCTTAGGCCTTTGGGTGGGTATACATAAACAGCATTGAAGGATGAAATGGTCCCTTGTCTTTTTATAAAATGTTTCCCCCAAGACAAGAAACAAATCTATTAATCACTTCTTATATGCTATGACTGTTGCTTTAACACTTATTTCTTTTAAACATCTTATCAAGACAAAATATGTATAGTGCTCTATTTAACCATGACAGATCAAGCCATGCTACTTACAGAAGTCTACAAATGTTTCAAATTATTACATTCAAGAGAAAAGTGTACCAAAGAGTTTTATTTACTTTAAATTAAAGCTTAGTGAGAATGACACATTGAAACTGACAAATATCAAAACATTTTTATAGGAGTCACACCACTAATCAAAATCATTACTCCTATGGCTCAGGTGTGGAATGTTCAGCACAAGCTTGGTGCGTAATATACATCAAGAAAGGACAAGTGACCTCAAACTGCACTACAGACCTCTACACTAATTTTTGTAGATACTAGCAAATAGCTACTAATTACTAACTTTTACGCTACTCAATTTGGAACTGCTACTAACTAAACTAACTGTGTAATAATTATTTCCTCTACTAAGTGTTAATAAATATTCATATATCCTATCTATATGCTAAAAACTATGTCATATTTTCTATTCGAATATTAAAACATTTTAATTACAAGCAATGTTCTTATTCTAACTATTCCACAAAAGTTAAGAGATCTCGATTTTGGTAGAAACCAGTGTATCTAGGCCACAAGATATTAAATTGACAAAGGCTACAGTACCCCACTGATGAAGGCCAACCTAAACTAAATTTTTTTTTATTATTAAACGTTATGATTCAAATGCCAAAAGCTGGTGACACATCATAATCCAACAGACCTAACATTTGTGTTAATCATGGACAAAGTAAAAGAAATTTGGAACAAAACATATTCAGTTTACATTATTCAATTTTATTATTATCTCCAGTGATCACTCACTTGGACACTGTACTTCTAACCATATTGCCAGCAAAAACTGCACTGCAGAGGCCAAATGGTGCAAGTCTGGCTGAGTGTCTCATATGTTAACTGCCTTGGCTACCAAAGGAACAAGTTGAAGCTGTTGTCCAACTATCCCCACTGCCTAAAACTTAACCTGTGTATGCCATTCAGCTCAAATTTCTAATGAAACAATCTTGTTAATCACAATTATAGTAACCTTCTGTGCTCAGAATTTTACAATATAAGCAACAGAACTGCACATATCATGCACTTATTGATATTTGACAATAAGAACATTTGAACCTTCCTTCTGATGCATAGTAACAATTTCTTTCTGTTGCCTTCTATATTTCACTAGCAAACTGCAACACTAACCAGCAATTTGATAGTTTTTTAGCATTAATTTTGAGCCTTCCATTATCAAGCAAGAAGTATGTTTCACTCAAATTATGTCTATATGTATAAACACTAAACCTGCAATGTCAGTCATTTGCTCAACTCCACAAGGTTTTTTTAATATTTCATCTATACAACTGTAAGGCTAAACTTTCTATGTGGCAGTTAGCAAATGATAAAATAACAAAAATGAACAAAACCGATGCCACATGATGACTGGGTATAAACCAAGATGTTCACTAATTATAAAAAGTGTAAATGTACCTATTCTCTATAACACATTTCAATTAAAATTCTCTGAAATGCAAACAATGAAAATGGTTTGAGATGCCTTATAATAAAAAAAAAGGATACGCAAGTTGATTTTAAGGCTGACTCCAAATTCATCCAATGGTTGTTTCTTGCTACTTGTGTCAAACTTTGCTGATCTATCATTTTGCAAGTTCTTCCCATACACTGGAAATCGTTTAGTTAAGTGTGATGACTCTCTTTTTGAAATACGTGAAGAAATTAAATCATAGGGTTTTCTTTCTTCCTCGTGGTCTATTCTTTTGTCTTTAAAACTGTAGCAAAATTCATTGGCCCTATCATCCTTCCTCAGTTGATGAGTGTATCTTCTTCTTGAATTGAAAGTAGTGTGATTTCGTCTTTCACTTACACTGTGTAAACTATTGCTACCCATTTTGTTTATGTCCTTACATCTTTTTCCTCCAGAATGTTTCTTTTCCTCAAACCATCGACTATTGGTAGAACTTCTGACATTATTCAAAGTATGTGTCTTACTATTTGTATATGATCTATGCTGAACATTAGGTTTATCATCCTTTCTAGAAAAGTAAGCATTATGATCACTGTATCTGGAAGTTTTGCTGCTTACATTTTTTACATTTTCATCTTCTGTTATGCTTACAAATGAGCTCACAGACTTTATACATGTTTTACCATTTTCGTTTTTTAACTTAACTGCTTTACGAAGATCTGTATCTTTTTTTCCAAACAGCTCAATGTGATTTTCCAGAATTACCATTGGACTAGTAGTACTACTAGTGCTATCTAAACAAGTTGTACAGCTATTAGCATTAGTACTAGCATTAGGCTTAATCGAAGGAGTAACTAGCTTAGCTCTAGGATTAGGCTTAGTTTTAAGTTCTCCATTTGGCATTACCCCAATTTCAGGTGCAATAACACTAACGGTAGTACTAGTAGTGCTACTTGTAGTAGTATTACTATTACTAACCGTACTAATACTATTATTAATATTTTTATTACTCGTATCACATTCAGATTCACAGATGGATAGGCCCAAATCCATTAAATGTTTTTGATTATTTTCATCATCTTTGGTTTTTGGAATATCATCTGTAATCTCACCTTCCTCTAATTCTGGTTCTTCTATCTCCACATTGTCCTCCATTTAATTTAATTTTATTGTTGAAAAGCAATCCAAGTTAAAGACTCGAGATTTGTACTTACAACTACAACTTGCACTTACAGCTCTTGGAGTTAAAACCAGGTTTGGCCTCTATTTCAGTTCATACTCATAGTGAAATAGCTCAATTCTACTGAGTAAGACTAAGAAATAAAAACGAGTCCACACCACGACCTAACAGTAACACTACCCAAAACCTAATAAATTAGTAACTAGAACCAAAACTGGTTCACTGCTTAAGCCACTCAAGGGTGTGACTGACTTTTTCCTATAATAATTTGACGTCATCAGTCAAACCTAAAACAGCTGCTAATTTATAGCTCCTTTTATTAACAGAACTAGTAAAATTGGATTAATAATTTCGCTTTGAGTTTATTTATTGATTACATTTATAAGTATTGTTTTATTACAGCTTTTACAGTGAGGAATAATATTTTTAGGACACGTATAACGCTTTCATCACTAGCGCGATCATTCTCAAGTACACAAGTGTTAAAGGTAAAGGTTTTATTATTTAAATCTAAATTCAACAATCTAATAAAGTATTTAAATTTCAGAATTGATAGTGGTTACTTATATATATCTACATATAAATTCGAGTGAATTAACAGTTATTTATTTATGGCGGAATAACAACAACAGTGAATAAATATGTGTGGTTTTGTATTTGTTTTAGAGCAAAGCCACATGGGCTATTTACTGTGTCTACCGCGGGAAATTGAACCTCGAATTTTAGTGTTGTAAGTCCTTACACTTACCGCTGTCCCACCGGGGTACGAATAAACATGAAAATACGGGATATATTATGCGAAATATTAGCATAAGATTAAGAATGTCTGGAGAAATAACAATCAAACAAATATAGATATGTGCCTAGATATTTGTTAATTGTAGGATTGTCTGATTTCATTAAAAAGGCTTCTATGATTTCTATGACTTTTCAGGGTGAAAATGAATCTAGACGTTATGTTAAAGTTATATTTACGTACTAGTCTTTTCCAAATTTCTGATTTAGGTATGCTAAAATTTTCTATATGTGGAATAGTGCAAGTGATTAGATTTTTTTTTTTTTGTGGAATGTTTTTGTGTTTGTTAAGTGTCACTTGTCAGTGTTTGTTTAAATTTTAATAGTGTTACGACAGTGGAAGTCACGTGACGTTGATGAGTTTCTCGAATGATCGGGGAAGTCCGAGTAAGTTCGAGATGCCCTATTTGTTAGTATATAAGCCTGGCAGGGAAAGCCAGCAGGGTTAATGAAGAGAGAGCAATAGTTACTTTGAGTTCCGTGTAATTTGTGATCCTGTTAGTTTCGCACTAGTGAGCCATGAAGTGTGTGTTTTGCACTCGTCGAAAGCGAAATTATCGAGATTGTGAATCACTGTGATTTATAGCACGTATTATAAAAGTTGTTAAGTTTAAAGTGACGAGAAACGTACTGATTGTTGAACTACTGTGTACTAAAAGTTTATATCGAGGAAGGATAAACTGGTTTAATCAAGAAAGGACTTGTATCATTGAAGATTCTCGAAACGAATTTCTACCGGAAACAAACAAACAAGCAGATATAACAATAGTTTCTGTAACTACTTTCGTAGGGAACTGATTTTCTGTGATGCATATAGTATATGCTAAATTAAGGAGGCTTTTAAGAGTGCCTAGCTTCAGGTGGATTACATGATTAAAAACCAGTTTATGTCATTTCCGCTCTTTGTGTTTTTTCTGTTAATTTTAGTGGTTAAGTCTTGTAAGTTTGTATGGTGTTAACGTTTAAAAAAATTTTCATGTAGTTATTTTCAACTGTGAATTTTATGCTTTTATGTAAATTATTTATGTGTTGAAGGAATTTTTTTGTTTATTTTGACAAGTAAAGTCACAAAGAAGCATTGTCTACATATTTCTGCAGTAAGTTTTACTGCCTTATGACAAGGGGTTTGAGGGAATAGGTGTATGACATCAAAGCTAGACATAGTGACATTACTGTCTAAACTATGTAAATGTTGTAGGAGATGTGAGGTTTTTTCTAATTGGCTGCTTATTTTGGAAACGCGAGGTTCCAAAATCCAAGGTTGTACTTTAAACAGTTATAAGAAGACATAATTGGGCGAAATGTTATTGGTTTTTTATGGATTTTCTGTAGTCTGAAGATGTTTGGTGCACTTGGTTGGTTTGTATGCACTATATATATATTGTCACGACAGCGGAAGTCACGTGACGTGATGAGATTCTAGAAGGATGGGGGAACCTCACGAATGTCCCAGCATTTGCTAGACACCCTCTTTTTTAGTATATAAGCCGGCAAATAAATTGATAATAGAGATAATTGAGTCAAGCAAACAGTAGGCACTGTAAGTAAAGTGAGTGAATCGTTGTAAATTATAGCATGTGTTTAAGTTAAAGCGACTGTGGAAATTCTGTGTATTGCACAATTGTATTGAGGAAGAAT